CTTCCTTCCTTCCTTCCTTCCTTCCTTCCTTCCTTCCTTCCTTCCTTCCTTTTTTCCTTCCTCTCATCTTACTTTCCTATCTACCACCTACCTACCATAGGTAGAAGAAGAAGAATGATCTATTTGGATAAATAGTCCTTCCTTCCTACTACCTACCTATCTACCATAGGTAGAAGAGGAAAAATGACTTATAGTTCTTCCTCTCTCCCTCCCTCCCTCCCTCCCTCCCTCCCTCCCTCCCTCCCTTCCTTCCTGAAAGATCCTACTGAACTCAAAAGCTTGCATGGAATTCTGTGTCCTCTGATTTGGCACAGTAAATACATCTTCTTAATCCAGAAGTTGATATCTATATGTGGACTCATGAAGAAAGAAGAGAATTTAGACTGAAGCTCCATTGCTGCTCTCTGAAAGAAGTTTAATGATTAAACCCTTGTTTGGTTTAATCCAGGATGATGATGATGAGTGTGAGCCTGGGCAGCTTAAAGCTCTCCAGGGACTAATGGTACTAGCCAATTCTGATCAAAACCTCATGCTTAATGAAGTGAGGTGTTTTGTTTATGAAATCTAAGTGGGAAACAGGCTATTTCCTCTAAGTGCTTTAAGACTGCAACTTAGTTAATAACCAAGAACCAGATTTCCTGAAGACTGTGAAATGGAAACAACTCCTAAGATAGCATTTTGTGCATAAAGCGTTTTGTGTCAATACTACCCACAACGAAGGAAAAACCCTGTTGACTTCAGATTCCACAATTCCCAGACAGCAGGACATTGAAGCAAAGATTGCTGTTCATTTGATTGATGTATGTTTGAAGTTCATTACCAGGAATGCTAATTATTCCATAAATCAATTTTGAGCAATATCAGTAATTGAAGGAGTAACCAAATAACATAACAACAGAGTTGGAAGGGACGTTGGAGGTCTTCTAGTCCAACCCTATGCTCAAGCAGGACACCCTTTACCACTTCAGAAGCATGGCTGTCCAATCTCTTCTTAAAAACCTCCAGTGATGGAGCAGCCACAACTTCTGAAGGCAAGTCCTTCTACTGATTTTTTTTTTTCTATCAGTCTCCTGCTTCTAGTTGAGATATCTCATTGCCTTCTTCTTCCCAGGGGTGAGAGAGAAGGACTGACTCCACACCACCCAGCTGGCTTTGTGCCTAAGGCAGAACTAGAACTCACAGCCTCCCAGTTTCCAACTTGGTGCCTTAACCATTACAGAGTACAAGTAGTCCTCAATGTACAACCACAATTGAGTCCCAAATTTATATTGTTAAGTGAGGCATTTGTTCAGTGAGTTTCATTCTTTTCTTGCCATATGAATCACTGCAATTGTTAAATTAACAACATGGTTGTTAATTGAATCGAGTTTCCCCATTGACCTTGCTTGTCAGAAGGTCACAAAAGGGGATCCCATGACTCTGGGACACAACAACCATCATAAAAGTGAACCACTTGTCAAGCAGTCAAATGTAAATCACGTGACCAGGGGGATGCTGCAAAGGTCATAAGTGCAAAAACTGGTCATCAGTCACTTTTTTCAGTGCCATTGTAACTTTGAATGGTCCTGTCCTGGGTCTCTCTAACCTATTTCCTCACCCCCATTTGTGCCTGCAAAGTACAATCCTTGACTACCTCTGCAATATGGTGAGTTCGATATTCTCCTTAAAAAATCCAGTGATCTGCTAGGGAAATCCCATCTGGCTTCTAGTTCCAAACCCCTGCCAAAAAGTTCACCCTTCTCGATTGACTTAATGTCCAGAAGCATTCTCTGCTCAGAGCATGAATTTTCTAAACCCTTTCAGCTTGCGAAACCCAAGTGATACTTCTCTAGCTGAGTACCAGTGGCAATGTCTTTCCACACAGTTCTGCACCATGGTCAAATTTTGCTCATCCAAACCATGCATCCTTCAAGAAAACTGCGAGAGTTTTAAGTACTTACAATGAGAATTGTTACATATGGGAAAAAGACAAGGCTCAGATGTAAAGGGAAATCATTTATACTGCATCCAGTTTTGATCACCACAATGTAAAAAAGATGTTGAGGCTCTAGAAAGAGTGCAGAGAAGAGCAACAAAGATGATTAGGGGGCTGAAAACATATGAAGAACGGTTGCAGGAACTGGGTTTGTCTAGTCTGATGAAAAGAAGGACTAGGGTTGACATGATAGCAGCAGTGTTCCAATATCTCAAGGGCTGCCCCAAAGAAGAGGGAGTCAAGCTATTCTCCAAAGCACCTGAAGGCAGGACAAGAAACAATGGGTGGAAACTAATCAAGGTGAGAAGCAACTCAGAACTAAAGAGAAATTTCCTGACAGTTAGAACAATTAATCAGTGGAACAAGTTGCATCCAGAAGTTGTGAATGCTCCAACACTGGAAGTTTTTAAGAGATCAGATAACCATTTGTCTGAAATGGTATAGGATTTCCTACCTAAGCAGGGGGTTGGACTTAGATACCTCCAAGGTCTCTTCCAACTCTGTTATTCTATTCTATTTCTCCAGATTCAGGGCCTTTTCCCATATGCAGGTAAACCTAGTACAAGCATGACTTGGAAATCTGTTTTTTCTGCCATGTCCCCATGATGTTATCTTTCATCTTATCCACGGTCCATGAATGTGACACAGCGGAGGCCACGCTTAGCTGAATCGGGAGAATTTTAACCTTTTTTCTGACACTGTCAAGGACATTCTTAAGGTGTTTAAAATTGTTTAAGCTTTGTCACCCATTATTCGCAGGGAAGTCAAAAGTCTGGCAGTGGCTCAAAAGAGAAGTAATAGAAGCAAAATAGGGATCCCAAAAGTGCTTCTCCAAAAAGCAACTGGATTTTCTTGGTGTTTTTTCCCCTGGAAAACATTTTCCTTCTCATCCAAGAAGGTTCTTCAGTTCTCAGAACTGGCAGACTAGAATTCAAAGTCTCCAAGTTTCCAGATTGGTGATTTAACCATTACAGAATACTGGCCCTCTCTTCCTATTTTGGGCCCTCCAACTTCAGAAGAAGCTTCTTGGATGAAAGGGGAAAAAAAACCAAGGAAATTCAGTTGCCATTTGGAAAACCACTTTTGGGACAACCATGACCAGGATGATGGAGAATCTCCATAGATATGATAGGGAATGACAGTGGGAATAACCCATGTCATGCCAGTATAGCTTTGTGTTGAACTGGAAAAGCAGAAAGCATTCCAGCTTACCAGAAAGAAAAGGACCAATGGACCAACTTAAAAAAACAAAACAAATTGAATTGTAAAGCTAGAATGTAAGATAGCTAAACAAGGTTCATATACGTAATTACCTGGAATTCTAATACAGGCAATAGCAATAGCATTTAGACTTTACTTTAGACAGTACTTTACAACCCTCTCTAAGCAGTGTACTAAGTCATCAATCTGGGTCCTCATTTTACCCACCTCAGAAGGATAGAAGGCCAAGTCAACCTCCAAATAGTTTCTCTGCACTCCATAAACATTTGATGTGATTTATTGTCTCTTCAGAAAAGATACCTTTTGTTCTTTCCCCTATTTCAATATTTCTCAACCTCAGCAATTTTAACCTATGTGGAGTTCAACTCAGAATTCCCAAGACAATATAAAATGGCTGAGATTGGGAAACACTGTCCAATTTCCAAGCTAAGCCCCAATGGAAGTTGAATCGCAGAGGTTATTTTATTATAAAAATCAGTTAAATCATCAATCAATCATCAATTAAGAGTCCTGTTCCAGGTAAAGATTCCTTTGAGAAAGGCTGTATTTCAGTTGTGATTGGAACATCTTGATTCACTTTTCTATTATTCTCTCCAGACTAACCCTACCTAAGCACAGAAGGAATTTTTCAGATCAGGACTTTAAGGGCTGGCATTCAGAACCTCACCCAGTAAATGAGGGAGAAACACCAAGCAAAGGGTTATCTCCTACAGATCATGAAGAAATACATATTGCATGCATACATAAAACAGGAGGAAATTGCATTAGATATTTGAAGTAGATGAAACAATCCAAACTGTAAGTGAAACAATCCAGATTTTTATTTCTAGTGGAAATATAATACTTCTAAGGGTGATAGATTTCTTCCCACTTAGAGGCATCTCCCAAACTTTCAAAATTGCCACTTTTAACATGGCAGGAGAGAGAAACTATTTCTTTTAAAGATGAATGGAAGTAAATGTTATTCATTATATCTGATCTGGCTTCAATGCACAGGCAAGCAAAGTGAAATCAGATTAGAGTCTTTGTTGTGGTTGCAGCCCATACATTTTGGAGCATGATCCTGGGATGCCCAGGAAAAGTTGTGCAGCCCAAAAAAACAAAGTTTCTTTAAAGTCCACGGCTGATTATATAAAACCAGTAAACCCAGACACAGGCTGACTATGCCACTACATGTTATGGCATTAATCTGGAGCTCTGTGTAGCCTTGTGGTTTTCAAGTATGGCTTTCTCCCTTCAGAATTCTGCAGAGGAAAAGTGCAACACAAAAGGCATGCCAAAGAAACCCAAGGCTGGCTTGTTGCCTGGTATAGCTATACTCACAGGGGTACCTGAAGTAGAATTCATTCTCAATATCAGAGACGTTCCTTTGCTGTTTTTCCTTCTCCCAGTCAGCCACATCTGCCTCTGGGTTGAAGCGCACGAAAATCCCAAAAAGGATGATCATGGCCACCTCCCAGAGGAGGCAAACCATAGGTAAGCGCCAGCGCATATTGGTGTTCCTAGCCATCGTGCTCAGGCACACCATGAGTTCAACTTCTTTTCCCCTTTGTTCAGTGAAGGTGTCAGGACAGAGAAGTCACAGGAGCTTGGAAAGGAGCTTCACAAACAGTCCAACCTGTTCATTCATTTTTATATAATCTGGGGAGAAGTGGGTGTGGCTCTGAGGCTGCCAGTCATCCCAGCAACCCAGGGAGGGCATCTGTCTCTCCACTCTCTCGTACTAGTCCAAAGCCAAGCGAGTGTCCTGGCTTTTCTTAAGAATGTATTCCACACACCAGCATGACATCACAGATGAATGGATTCAGTTTCCAGCATGACAAGCCTTTCCCTGCTGTGTCACATTCCAAGTGAAAGTGGAGGAAGATAAGCCAAGGAAGTATCTAAGAAAGTCAAGGCAAGCCATTTGGGGATGATCCTGGGGCAGATGTATGGGAATCGATGGGGCTGACTTCAAATACCTTTGCAGAGAAAGGATGCAGGTTGCAATCCTGTTCCTTTGACTTCTCTATTTCATCCCTCAGCTCCTTGCATCCATATAAGCAGGAGCCAAAGCAAGGAAATTGCTCTATCACTCTCCTTAATATCTGGAATCCACAGGCTGCTGTATGCTACAGCAAATCATCTTATTTTTAAGATTTCTGTCTTTGCGTGTGCATGATTTAGAGTTGTTTGTTGTTTGATCTTGGGATATGCTGGGCTATGATTCTCATCATCCCCACCCAGTGCATTTGAAGTGAATGAATGAGTAAGTGAGACCCACAGACCCCCAGTGAAACTGCAATTATATATTCTGTAGAAAGCAGTTGTCTCCAGCCTGACAACTTCTGGTGTCTTGATTCACTTTCCTCCAGATATTGAGCAGGGACCATGAGGTTATTGTCCTACCATTCTGGACTGTGTCTAGCTGACTTAAGCTGGTTGTGAGATCTCATTTATGTTAATGCTTAGCATTCCAACAAGCGCCACATGTAACATTTCTCCTCCATTTTTTTACATATTCAGTTGAATGAAAAGGAATTCACTTTTGAAATGACTGGCACAGTAATTGGGTGGAGAGCGGGACATTTCATTTGTTTCCAAACCGGGTTTACTTGTGGATGCGATGAACCGGCTCTGAATCAGGGATGTCTCCATAGTGTCCGGTTACGAATGCGGGAGACCTGGGACATCAAGGTCTCCAAGTACGGACAGCCTGACCATGTCACCAATATTCATCGTTGGGCTGCTGTTCCCCCTTCCGTCTCAGTGCATCACCTCCCTGTTATCATTTCTAACCAAGGACTGCTTTATGAACCATCGGCGCTGGGCTACGGATTTTGGGGTTGAGCTGCAGGAACTATATGGACATTGGTTTCCTCACCATCACAGGCTCACTCAAATGTTACGATGTTTACATGCGTGGAACCAGGAAAGATTGATTCCAGACCTTGGGTGACACGTGATTAATGACACTGCCAAAAGTGGCGACTCCACTAGTGTGACAATCTCTTAGCGAATTTTTACTCTCAGAGAGGTTCTCCCCTCTGATAATTTATGATTCCATAATGACCAAAGGGTTATGTCTGAATGGCTTGCCTTTTGGGGGGACAGCTGTGTTTTCAACAATCTGCCCACTCTCTGGCTTCTTAGGATCCTATTAAATCACTAGGGAATATATCAGGAAGAAATTCCTCTTTGTGCAGTGGGGATTCAGGAGGAGAAGATATGTTATAGATCACCACCAGTGGCAGCAACCTTCACCACTTCCACGGTACAACCAAGCTCAAAAACATTTCCAAGAGAAAAGAGAAAAAAAAACAATTTCTCCAACCTTCTCAAATAGAAACATCTTTCACAGAAAAAGGAAATATCTGAGACATTGTAGGACAGATTTTATCTCTTTCCAGGTTCACCCTATCCTATATAGCCATATGGTATCAAACTGTAGTATATTCTAGATTCTGCCCTCAGCTGTGCCTGGCATGTTTCAGTACAAAGCTATTACCAATTTGCAAGTGACTGTTGATCTTTGCATGCTGGGGACATATTAAAAAAAATGTTTAGTAATCTGCTTCTCTGGCAAGCAGAACCATCAATTAATTTGCCTACCAGGGGAGGATGTATTTCCCCTGAATTGCAACTTTGAACGGCTTTCACCATTGTCTACAGTGACAGAAGCTGCTGGCAGGCGAAGTTCAACCACATCTAAAGGCTATAGGTTCTCCATGCCTTTATTGTTCTTTTGCTCATACTTATAATGCCACTGAGTCTTTTCCCTCCTTATTCTGAATTTTTGTAATAGTTTCTTCCCCCATGCCATCACTTGCTAAACACCGAACTCTTATAGCACTGTCTTATGCCTAAAGATATCTACCCACGTAATAGGGCTGGATTGCTATTATCCTTGTCATCTTTGTCATCTTCTCATCTTTCTCACTTCTCATCTTTCCTACTACCTTCTCCTTCTCCATATTATGATTTATCAATTGTTTGTATCTTATGATTTGTGATTGTACCTTATGATTTATGATCTATGACTTATCACTCCGTTGTTCGTATGTACACTGAGAGCTTTTGTACCAGAGACAAATTCCTTATGTATGTAACCACACTTGGCAAAATAGAGGATTCTATTCTATTCTATTCTATTCTATTCTATTCTATTCTATTCTATTCTATTCTATTCTATTCCATTCCATTCCATTCCATTCCATGGATCATGTGACCATGGGGATGCCACAATTATGGTAAGTATGAAAAATGGTGATAAGTCACTTTTTTCAGTGCCATTGAAACTTCAAACAGACACTAAATGAACTGTTGTAAGTCGAGATTTACCTGTAGATGGTCCATCAATACTATGGCATATCAATAAATGTTTAGGGTTCTGCAATTCCCCACATTCTCAGTTCACGTTCTCATCACAAAAGGGTCACTGCAGTGTATTTATGGATTATGAAGTATTTACATCTGTAGCTCCCACCCTTTCCCCGTGAAACTCAGGATCATTTTTTATAATTTTATCCTCATTAAAGACAACAACAAAATCCTGTTACGCAGCAGGAGAGAGAATGAGAAAAGAGAGACAGCTTGCTCCAAGGTCATCGCATAAGCTTCATGATTGAAGGAAAAACTGAAACTCTATCTTCCTTGGCTGAAGTCCATCATTCTCATTAGGCTTTATTCTATTCTCTCTCTGAAATATCTTTTTCCTGATTTACAAGCACAACACAAATCATGGAAAAAATAGGAGCCCCACAGGGTGTGTAGGAATCAGTGAGGGGGCAGGGAAGAAAGAAGAGATGGATGGGGTGGGGCAGCTGGAGGTTGGGAAGAAGATTATCCAGCCCATCAAGCCATGGCAAGGATAACCCGAGGTCAGGACTAAGACTTGGAGCATTAAGCAAAAGCAATTTACAAGTTCAGTTCTAATGTTCTTCCTGGCCCTTTACAACTCTATAGGTCAGCAGTGAAACCTATTCATTTTAAGTCACTTTTCCTCCTAGCCTGGAAAAAAATAAATAAACCATGACAGTTAAGAAACATGGCAATTTTGCATCTACACACACAGAAAAGAAAGAATATGACCTACCATATTTTTTTCACCTTTTTAACAACTTTTTGGGCAAACCTCAGCCCTTCTGTTTTACATTAGGGCATCCTGCTTATTATGTCCCACAGTTAAAATACAGGTTTGCACACTGAGAATTAGTCCATTGGCTTTCTGATCAGGAAAACATTTATCTTTGGGAAGTCCTGTAGAATGTTTTTTCTCCCTCCAGGGACATTCTAATCTTCTTGCTTAAATTTTCAATATCCATTCTATCTTTTTAAACTGTGTAACTGTATTTTGAAACCTTATACTTATTCCCACTGCTGAAATTATGGTCCAGTCAGGGAAATGATCTGATGTAGCAAATAATTCCTATACATTTTTGAAAATATTCTAAAAAGTAATATTTAACATAGTTAAATAACACATTTGACTACCTGAAACTAATTGCCTATTATGAGTTGAATGTTCTAGCATTTGTTGTGCCTTCAGGCTTTTTCACCAGAAAAGACTTAGCTATTCTCCAGTTTCAAACATGTTCAAGCCCAAATCAACATTTACAACAGAAGAGAAATTTTATTTTAATTTATTTATTTTTGTCAAGCATGCATTTGAGGCTATATATAAGTATAAACATGATTATAAATACATGAAATAGATACAAATAAAAGGGAACATTTAGACAGGGATGGTAAGCATGTTGGTGCGATTATGCACATCCCTTACAGACCTCTTAGGAATGGGGTGAGGTCAATACTAGACAGTCTGAGGTTAAAGTGTTTGGGGATAGTGGAAGAAATCACAGAGTCAGGAAGAGTATTCTAGGCATTGACCACTCTGTTGCTGAAGTCGCATTTCCTGCAATCAAGGTACAGTTGGTGCGGTTTACCTTAAGTTTGTATCTATTGTGTGCTCGTGTATTGTTGAGGTTGAAGCTGAAGTAGTCATTGACTGGTAGGACATTGTAATGGATAATTTTATGTACTACACTTAGGTCAGACCGAAGGTGGCATAGTTCTAAGTTATCTAAGACTAAAATTTCAAGTCTGGAGGCATAGGGTATTCTGTTGTGAGTAGATGGAGGTGAAAAGCTCTGTTAGATCCTCAAACAGAGTCTACAACAAGAAGAAAAGAAATGAGATCTGTTAAATTAGATTGCTCACGGTTTTATGCAAGGGTGTGGAGATCAAGTCAAACTTGATTCGAATTGTCAGTTCACATTCCTGAATCAATCCAATTCAGTTTTTTTGGACTGTATTTTCAGGTTAATGTGATTCTGAACACACAGTTTCCTTTGTAGTCGTGAAAGGTCATCGGTTTGACTCTGAGGTTGGATGCAAATTCAGAAAGTCAATTTGATGCAGAGAATCAGTCGAAGTGCTCTCGTGCTGAATATGCTAATCAAATACTCATGCACGCGGGGGGGGGGGGGGGGGGGGGGGGGGGGGGGGGGGGTTGTCTGCAAGTTCATCCTTGGGATTTTGTTCGATGGTGACATATCTCCAGAATAGGTTCTTGTAACCTTTGCGTCTGCTTTATCTGCAGACACGGATGCAAATAGAATAAGAAATGCAATTCAGCTTAACCTAGTAAGGAAAAG